AAATGCCCTGATAATTCAAGGATTGTATCGTATGCGTGATAATGTTTGCACCATTGAGCGATGTCAAAATTAAAAAAAATTCTCAAAAATTTCGTTTTCGAGTTTTTTTTTTATTTATTCAAATTATAAACTATGTTAATCATCGATCGAGTTTCCACTTGCTGCAATTACGGCCTCCACACGCTTCCGGAATGCACGGCAGGTTCTAATAATGCAGTCTAGATCCATTTCTCTCCAGGTACGGGTCATTGTTTGTCTGAGGCTTGCTGTACTCGGGTGGCGTTTAGAGCAGGCCTTGACCTTCATGACGCGCCATATTGAGTAATCCAGCGGATTAAGATCGGTGGCCACATATCTTTCGCCCAGAACGGAAGATGTTCCTGCAACCACTTCTGAGTTCGGTTCGGGGTGTGGCACGGAGTCCCACCTAGTTGAAATACAACATTTGGCTTCGGACCGTACTGTTCTTTGGTCCACGGAAGAACATACTTATTTAAAATCCCGATGTAGACCTCCGTGTTGACCTTGTCGCCTTCTGGAATGAACACCGGATCCATTTTTTGCCATCGGAAGCCACCAATCCAAACACCATATTGCTAGCAGGATGCTTAGTCATATACACGTTTTTGTGCTCGTCGGCCACGTCTTTTACCAGAAGAGAACTAATATACCGGTCGGTTCTGGAATTTGATACGGGATCGACGGTAAACATGCTCTCGTCGGTGAACAGGATTACCGGATTTTTTCGCTTAAGGAAGTTCAAGATTTTCTTGCATCGTTTGACTCGTAGCTCCCGGATGCGGTTGGTAATCATGTTAGTTTTTTTTTTCGTGCCCTCGACTTCGCCCCGCAATCTTCCTTTACGATCTTCCGTACCGTAAAGTCACTGATCCCGTGTTCCTTTGTCATTTTCCTTATTGAACGCATTGGATTCACCCGAATCTTCCTTTTGATAGCAGCGATAACCCTCTGAACCCGATCTGACCTCGGATGACCTGTGGCCACCTTCGCGGATAGTTGTCCTTTCTTTTCTCGGTCTAAAACCCTTTTGACGGTCCACCGGGACAGTCCCACGGCGATTGAAATGTCTTTTTGTGACATTTGCGCGTGGGACAAATCACGAATACGCTGCCACTTCGTCATGGTGCAACTGTCAAACTAAGTAAATCATTTTCTTTTATACACAGCCTACTACGGTATGAGCTTTAGGTTACGTGCATGCAAAGAAAACCAAGGCATTGTATGCACAGGTGAAACGGGAACCTTATTTGTACGATGGTGCAAACATTATCACGCATAGGGTACAGGTATTTTGAAATTTCAGATAATTCCAGGTTTTACAGGTATGTCCAGCTAGTATCTGTCGTGACCGGACCGAGGTTTCCAGCTACACGAATCTCGGCTGCTAAGCTTCCACTGGTACTGCTGCTGTTCCTGTTGCTGCTGCTCGTCCGTCGCCTTCAACGTTCGTCACAAGAATGCCTTCTGCGAGTTAGTTTAAATGATCTTTATTTCAGTTCAACTTGGATGATTACCATATACATTTTTCTAAGTGATTTAATTGCTTTCTTCATCTTTAGGTATGGGCAAAATTCAAAATTTGTTTTACAGAATTAGTCCCTTGCGGAACACCTGCTGGGATCGGAAATTGTCCCGAATGGGAACTATTCAACGACACCCTGAACGACCTTTGCTAGAGGTAGTTACGGGTGATTTTCACAAGGTATGGTGGAAAGTTGGAGTTACAAAGCTTGTATATAAGTCCGTCGTGCCAGACATTGTCAAACGCCTTTTCGACGTCTAACAAGGCCATGGCTGTGGACTTGGATACAGCTTTGTTACTTCGGATGTTATTCATCACCCGCACTAGCTGATGATTGGTGGAATGCCCCTTTCGGAACCCGAACTGTTCCGGAAGAAGAATGTCATGTTCCTCCATAAACTTGTTCAGTCGGCTGAGGATCAATTTTTCGAACAGCTTGCTCAGCGCTGAGAGCAGGCTAATCGGTCTGTAGCTTGACAGTAGTGAAGTGTCTTTCCCAGGTTTGCGGATCGGGATGATTTTTGCCACCTTCCAGATGCTTGGAAAGTAGTGCAGCTCCAAGCATCTGTTGAGGATGGCAGCCAGCAGCGAGTGCACCCTCGGGCCGTGATTTTTCAACTCTAGGTTGAAAATTCCGTCAAACCCGGGAGCCTTCATGTTCTCACTGTATTTCAGCGCAGAGCAAATTTGTTCCTCTGTAATCCGTTCTTCTGTGCCTTCTGCGAGCTTAGTTTTTTTTTTTTTGTTCATTAATTTATTTGATAAGGCTCAACCGAATTAACTTAACAGAGCCGAGGATTCTTGGTCACTATACAATACATCTTAAAACTATAGTCAAAAGGTACAACACAATAAACACTTTATCTTCCGCTATCCAAAAAGCCTCCTCCATCAGAACTGGAGCCGCTTCCAGTGGTTTCATTGTATGGCAAATTGTTGTACGCCAACGAGGGTCAGAGCGCGTCCATTGCAGCAATGGACGCAAAACGTGGTCAGCACTCACACACTCATCACGAAACGGTTGCTTTCCAAAGTCGACGACGCATCGACCGAAAGAACTGCTGATGAAGAACAATGAGGAGGACCACACAATGGTTGCTGCCGAGTATACAGACGATCGCGTGGCACACATCGAGAGTGGTCTGCTTTTGTCGACAGCCGAGTGAACACTCTGCGAGCTTAGTTAGCCCATATTTATACCAAAAGAATGTTCCCTCTTTTACACAGCACTGCTAGCTGTCTCGGGATTTGCCCTCACAAAGCAATGATAGTTAGATTTTATTCACCTTCACGCTAATTTGGGTTTACTCAAATTACGCGTTTCATTACATGATTTAATTTTCATTTTTTTTAAATCATTATTATTTCACACCAACTCTATACACTACAGTATCCACCCCATAAAGCATCAAAACATTCAAATTTTCAAACATTCTAAATTAGTAACCTCCGCCATGCTAAATAGGGAGCTTACTTTTAAAGTTTTGAATTGTACCAAGGCAAATTTAGTGCACGAAAAAAAACGATTCTATCCCGTGCTGTATCAACATCCGCATCAAAAATTGATTTAGCATGATTTGCATGTGAAAAATGGTCCCATCGCTGGTGTGCTTTATTGACGTAGCAGTAGTAGACATTCCTCTTCCCGCTCGTTTGCTTCCACTTTTTCCCGGATAAAAGGGGAAAGGAAAAAAACCAACCGGGACCTGTTCTGCATCCCAAATTGCACCTCCGCGCGCCAGATGGAAAATTTATGGGTACATCTTTTTCAAATAAAACAAGTGAAATTTATTTCCCTCCTTTCTTCCGGCAAATAAGTAAAGTGCGCAGTACAAGATGATTACAGTGTTTATTATAATTGCTTGAGTTGTGTATTTTGCAGTTTATCCTACTACGACCGATGATGCCTGCCGTTTTGTCGCGAGGGAGCAATTTTTTCACGTAGCTTCACTCAGTTATTTATGAAGACTGTGCTTGTTTCTTGGGTTGACAGTTTTAGAAAATTAGCATCTCTTTGAGCATTGTGCAGAAGAATTTAAAGGGAATGCTTTTGATCTAGCTAGAACAGCTTTACCTTACATTGAAAATATCCACAGTAAAGGTTTGCAGTATTTTCTGAGGCCTCCTTTAGCCTAGCGAGTAAGCGTGCGCTGGTATAAAGCAATACCTTTCTGAAGCCAGCAAGTTCAATACACAGTCCGATCATGGAACTTTTCCTTTTTTACATTTTCTTGACTTCCCATAGCACAGAGTATCAGTTAAATTACCACCCAAATGGTACAGACTTAGCAAACTTTCAATTAACAACTATGCGAAAGTTCTCAAAATGCACTTGTCGAGAGCAGTCATGAAGTTCCATTTGGGACGAAAAGCCGGGAGAAAAAAGGTCAGTATTTTTATTGCCTTTGCTTAATCGAATTTACATTTTTACAACATTTATTTCAAGAAAAAAAATACAAATTCCTCACACTGGTACTTCGCATTTCATTAATTAACGAAAGGCTGGACTCTTAGCACCATCCCAAGGAGAGCGTCTTTAATTTAAAAAGCAAATGGCAAAAGGTTAAGGAAAAAAACCGTACGCTCCGTTGCAGTACGAATAAGAAGGCAGATCCTGCTTACTAAAACGACAAATTATTGGATTTGAACCCTCCTATGTGTCTAGAATAGTGAAAAAAATAGCACCCTTTTTGTAGCACGAAAGAAGAAAAAGAAAAAAAAATGAGATGAAAAATTCCTCCATAATTCAGGAGGCCAGCTAGTGTTGTAACGCACCGCCAGGAATGTAATATCGACAGCAGTAAATTATGTATCATTCTTGTCCCATTCACCCACTGGCACCAACCGCCTTCGATACAGGACTATAAATCATCGCTCAAGAAGGAAGAGGAATGCTGCTTTTGTGGAGGGAAAATGGGTCTATTTGCCGAATTGGGGGAATCGAATTTGCGATGTTAATTATGATGGGTGACAGAAGGTTAATTTGTACCAACAAATCTATTCGCCACTGAACTACAAAAAACAACAGCTCGAAGAGCCTCATATTGAGTATGACACTCAATGCCTCTCAAACATACTATCAGATTTTCCAGTTTAGAGAAAGGCGTTCGATTAATACTGACTTAATTTAGATTTGAACGAGCAGCATGTCTAGCGATTCATGAAATCAATTTATAATAAAATATTGCAGTGTGTCAAATGGGTTTATGTTTCCCCATGAAAGCAATAACACAATTTAGCAAACCCAACCGAAAATAGATGGCGAAATTATACGATTATTCCCAGAGCACAGGCAATTTCACCCACCTCGTGCTGGACTTTGGTCCATAATACGAAGCCAAGTCTAAAGTCACCGAAATGATATTAAACTTTTCCTTAAATGGTTTCTGATGGCCATTTATATGTATCATATTTCATATTTTTCCTCTTTTCTTCTTTTTTCTCCATCGAAACACAGGCTGTACCTCGTATACGTGCCCCATACGGTCGAATATACACCTGCTGTCCAGCTCTCTACGCTCGAGTATGCCACCGTAGAAATTGTCAACAACATCCGAGTTCCTTATGCTGGCGATGATGCTCCTGTTGCTCCCGATCGGCAGCAACCCTTGGAAGGGAATGTGGTCCAGCAGCAGCTGAAATTTTGCAGAAAAACCGAACGCATTCTCTCACAAACGGACTCGGTAGGCGTCGATCCAAATAAGGAATATCATCTAAAGGAGAGGCTGCTAAGGGAAAATTGGCTCATCAAAGATAGTTTTATCGCGGCAAGTGAGGTGAGTCATAAAACTAATGTTGATTCAATATTTCTTAATTACCGCAAACTGGGGGAAAGTTGGTAATTGATAACTTTTCTAAAATGGATACAATGGATTCTTCATAATTGACCAAAATCGTAGAACATAAACTTTGAGTAAAATGTTTGATCTTTTTTTCACGCAATGTTTATGTGACTTGTGCATACGAAACATTGTTCTACGCTAAGAAATATATTTCTGCATCAAGCACAATAAAAAATTATAAGTCGAAAGAAGTTCAAAATGTGTACTAATAGTTGATGTTCAACGATTTGACTCAATTTTGAAGTGTCAATTGTGGCCATTTTAGAAATTTTAGCATATTTGATAAACTTTCAGATTCATTGAAAGTCTAAAAATCTTTATTGTTTTTTTTTTTGTTATTGATGTTTTCAACAGTTTTTTTTTTGTTTTGTTTTCAAATGCAATCTAGTTTTCTACAACCCGAGCGAAAAATAAAATCGATTTATCAGCAGGCGTAGAACTGCTCTATATCGACAATCTAAATTCTACAAAATTGTTTATTTTACCAATCTGAACAACTTTCTAGACGCGTCATTGGGACGGTACTAATGGATATTTTTGGTGGCTATTGAAAATTTAGTCGATTGCTGAATTTATGTATGGGTCAAACAAGGGGCATTTAGGCCGACATACATCCATTTACCCTATCAAACTTTTTTGGAAACCACACAAAATCAAAAATATGTCCATGAAAATTTTGTGTTACTTACTTTAAAGTGCATATTAGGATAGGTTAACTTAATAACCCAATACTCCCCACAACGCTTTCGATTCATATTAAAGTCCATATTGGAACGAATTTGGTTCCCTTCCAAAGAAAGGTGTGATAAAAGATTTTATGCCTCAGAAAATCACGACGGCGCCGAGTGAGATTGAACACAGGTTGTAGTGAGAGTCAGTCACGTTTACCTTTACACCACCGGTCCCACTAAATAGCTCAATTTGTAACAAACCAAAAAAAAAAAATATTATACATTATTTATGGCCATGTACACCGAACATACCTACTGGGGTGCACGTAACCTTGTAGGTATGCGCGGAGCACCAGGGCGTCAGTGAAAAATAATAACTTTTTGCACAGAAGTCGAATCGATTTGTGGTCTTCAACGAAGTTGTGCTATATAATTTTCTCAAACTATGAAAATGGGGCAATTTTTGAAATTTTATTAAGCAAATACATAGATTTGATCCTTTCCCGTACATTTTCCCATACAAATTTTAAATCCCTTCCGCTAATCCAGATCGTAACCGAATTCATTCAAATTTGGCACAGTTGCTGGAGTTCAAAATACGAATCGACAGCGCAGTGGGAAGCCGGGGGTTGTGATCCGCCATATAAAGATGACCCACCCTAGTGCATATGCAAAGTTAGTGTCTTTGGTAAAACATGTTTTCCACATTTCTGAAGACACCGATATTATTGACTATTGACAAAAAATATTTTTTCATCTCACTTCTAGGGGGATTAATAAAAAAACGGAAACTTTAAAAGACAACTTTTTGACTTCCTAGAATCTTATGTTTACTAATAGTAGTTATTTTCAACATTGCTATTTATTAATCTATGTGGGGTAGTGTGAAAAGCATAAGGGAAACGAGGTTAAAAACTACCATGGCGGACGAAATTTACTTCCCTTATATCTCAGCTGCTAGTTGATCTGATGGCGAAAAATTGCTGCCATACGATGAACTTTAAGTGTACCATTTGAAGCAAAACGCTGTTTAATGAAAGTAATTTGAAATTTATAAAATCGAATAAAAAATATGACGTTGTTGATATAATATTTCTTGAAACAGCTGGTCTATGTAGATTACCAAAATTAACGAAATTATTGATGCAAGTTGTTAGGTACAGTACCGTAAAAAAACTATATAATATCGTAATTTGTTTTTTTTTTCTCTTAGGAAAAATTCAATAAGCTTAAACTTGTCACGATGTGCATCATATTTTGGCTGCTGGTTCATGAACTATTCCAGGTGGGCCTTCCTGTCTTAAGCGGGTCTCATCCGAACATACTAAATCGTGTACAATGGAACTTCCATTTGCGAACAAAACCGGAATTCGTAAATCGAATCAGTGCGAAAAAATATCTCGTTATTTGGGATTTACCTCGTAAATTAGTTTTTTGAAAATACTGTCAAATACCCCAAAATATGGTTATTTTTGGAATCGGGGTGACCGTAAGTCCATATCTCACGATATTTTTAAATCCAATATGGCGTCAGACATAGATTTTCCGTTCCTACACGTCATTTCGATTTCAAAAATACCCATGTTGTGGGGTATTTTACAGTATTTCCCAGTTTTATGTAACCGGAAGCAGCCATCTTGGATTTAAAAATGATGTCAGATAAGGATTTCCGGTAACTACACGTCACCCCCATGGGGTATTTTTCAGTATTTTTCAGTATTTATCAGTATTTTCTGTAATCGGAAGCCGCCATATTTGATTTGAAAATGGCGGAAGATATGTATTTTCGGTCCCTACACGTCAGTTCTACTCCAAAAATACCCATATTGCATCACAATATTTCCCAGTTTCCCATAATCTAAAAATAAAACTTGTGAATTTGTGACGGAAACTGAACACTGCGTAAAAAAGACTCCGCAAATGGACATTTCAGTGTAGGTTATAGTAGTTGCTCAGCTGTATATAGCCAAAAAGACGAAATGTAGTGCCAATGGCTACTTGAGTAGTTTTGGGTTTGATTAGATGAGTCTACATGAAGTTTAAGCAATTCTAGTAAAACGCTTCTCATTTGACTGCCCTTTCTCAAACTGTTATTTTTTAAGTCCCGTAAAACGGGGTAACATTGATAGTTTTTTAAAGTATATTCTAAATATTTTTTACAGCAATGACTGTTTTTCAAATTTTATATTTTTAAAACAAGTACTCAGGATCCAAGAGTTAATTCGTTAGTAATATGTTGAACGAAAATTAAAGCATTTGCAATATTTTTTTAGTTTTGTGACCGAACTTCAGTATTTTGATTTGGGGTTACTTTGATAATCGAGCATTATGTAGGAATGTAGAAAAAAATGACTGAAACTCAAACAATTTAGTTCTTTAAATATGAAACTTTGAATGAGTATATAATCAGAAAACTTCATAAGCAATAAGAATACAACATTGAATTTGTGATAGCTGTATCGGAAATACATTTCACAAGTGATGGTTTGAGTGCTTTTTCAAAAAGGCGAAAAACATGAAAATGGTTTATTAATATTTTTGTAAAATATGCAACACATACTATATAAAAACTATATACCATATCAATATGGAACCAATGTTTCTTATTTGGAAACAACACAGCGAGTAAATTTATTCTTTATATTATACTATCAAAGTTACCAGCATTATCAAAGATATAAGAGATGAACTAGCCTCAGGCTAAAAATCTCTAAAATAAAGAAAAAAAAAAAAAAAAAATTATCAAAGATACCCCGTTTTACGGTACAATGAATCGAATCGAACTCTGCATAACATTTGTAGTCAAAATCAGTGTTGGAAAGTTCATTTTCAAAAAAAGTTCTTTCGGTCTTCTTCAGAGGATCATTTCGCTGAAGAACTAGCTATGTGAAAATCGCGAACGAACTGAGAATAAAAGTTCCCGAACGAGATGTGCGAAACAGTACAGCAAATGATTCCGAAAGAGAATTCCGATTTCGCTCTCTACGTGGTCTTATATAATAAATGTTATTTGTTAACTGCAGCAGGAGCTTGTGTTTTGTGTAGGAATAGGAATTTGAGCGGGGTTCTCTCTGTTTATACTCTTTAGTTTGACGCGCTTGATATAGATGGCCCACAGCAATTCACGAAGAGCTACTGATTCTGGAGAACTCAACCACTCACCACGCGGTGATTGAATAGACACCGTTTGGGGATGATGATGATGATGGTCCCACCTCTTACCCCTACAAAGGTTTGAGCTGGACGATTTATCTTTAAGATAATTAAATATGACATTTAAACCAGGTTAGCAAACAGAACCGCACTGGTTTCAGTTACAGATATTAATTCCCTCTGGAGTTTACAGTTGCTTCACAGCGATATAAATGTGGAAAAGCTCAGGCGTCCACCTCTTAGCTCGCCTTTTTGTCCACCTAAAATATTCATAAGTATTAAGCAAACAAGAGTTAATGAACAATCAACAAAGCATCCTATTACACTAGCAACCCCGCAATCTGATGCTATCATAATTTTCGGAAATGTCACGAACCCCCAACATTTGCCAGAAAACATACTACTAACTCAAGGTATCTTCCAGATAAGCTTCAAATTGCATTTTTTTTATCAAATGTTAAATTCAGTCCTCTATATCCATAATAAGCGCGCGAGGCTCAAACCCTTGTAGACTACTATTTTTTTTTTTACTACTATTAATATATCAAATATCAAAAATCCATCATCACCATCGTGGCGAACAGAAATAGTTTTTGCAGTGATACAATAATTATTAAAAAATGTCATTATGACATTGACCCGTCCATCCGGGAAGACCGGATGGAATTCAACTTTGAACTCTGTGTTAGGGGAATCGCTTTTCGCAGGCAATCAGTGACAATTTTAATTATCATAGCAACAGTTGCACATTCGTGCAATTTTCAATAGTAATTTTTTCAAAAATGATAAAGTCTAAAATTTTGCAGATGCGTAGAAATATTTCTGATCGATTGGTGATAAAATTATTGAAATGGGTCCAGGGCAGCTGAGTTATTAACGTGCAAAATCTTTCATAATTTCGTTACATGTTCCATTTTCGGTTTTCACAAAGTGTACCCCCATATAGAAATCACAGACGTTGTCCTACGTCAAAAAACAGCAAAACTCTAGGAACAGTATCATGAATTAATCACTTTTACGGTTGTTCTGGGTCTGCCGGAGGATTACTGGAAGCTTGATTTTACCTAAAGGTAGTCATCCTACCTGCTCAACAACTTTCCCAAAGACACCACGATGATATATCGTTAAATTAGTGTTAGGGTTAGTGTTGGGCCCAATCAGCTCAAATCTGATACGGTACGTGTAGGGGAAATGCGCGGAAATACCCATAGCAGGCAAAATGCACCCCCTTCTATCTTTGCTGCCAGTTAGTATGACGGCGAAATGTTGCCAAAGTTTAATAAACGTACTATGGAAGCAAAAACTTTTAGAAGAATGTCATTTTAAATTAATAAAATTGAAAAACAATTTGACACTAACCACGCAAAAATAGTAATTTCTTGAAACAGTTGGTATCTCTGAATATTTACAAAAATAAAGATTTGATTGATGCAAGTTGTTATATACATCCCTTATCTTTCGGCTCAATAGGTCATATGGCATGTTTATTCGAAAAATAGTACACGGCCAACCATACCAACTCAGTGACTGAGAATAATTGACTTAGATAATTTTCTTTCCATACGAAATTTACTCAGATTTGGAAAAAAAACTGCAGTTACTCATAAGCTATGAGTAACTGCAGTTTTTTTTTCAAATCTTAGTAAATTTCGTATGGAAAGAAAATTCTCTGAGTCATTTATTCTCAGTCACTGAGTTGATATGGTTGACAGTGTAGTTATTTTCAACAAATTGTAGTGTGGAAAGCATAAGACGTCAACCATTGATATTCAATAGAAAAAGAGCAAAGATACAGCCTAAATATATGCTTGCGGAAATAAATCAGTATGTAAAATGTACCCCTCAGTGTCTAGAAAACAGGTGTGAACATCAATTTCATCAAGAATTTATCAACTTTCGTTAAGCATATCAATTCAAGAACAACATGTGAAAAGGGTATACAAGCTTTTTGTTAACAAACCTTCTTATACCCTTTTCTCACCACCCATATGACCAACGCAAACCGTCAACATTAGCGGTTAGGAGAAGCATTCCCCTTCCCGATGATATTGTTGGTTTGCGTGGGCGACCCTCGGTTGGCGAGAAAAGGGCCTACAAATGATTGTTTACAAAAAGCTTGAATGCCCTTTTAACATGTGGCTCTTGAATTGTAATATCTAGTCAATAGCCTTATCCATCAAATAGATGGTATATTGTACATACTTAAATATCGATTCACTTTTTGGATTATACGGGGATCTTCCATGCAATGGGCATTATACCCCATCTCCCCTATTAGTTAATGTCGATTTATATTGCGCGGTTCCATTTCCCATGTAAAATCGTGCACTGAATCCAAAAATGTAGGTCAAAAAAATCTCAGTAGGATAGTTTTCAAGATATAGCTAAAAAATTAAATTTCACTTTCGTAATGAAGTTAAAAAATGTTGTAATGAAGTTAAATTGAATATCTTAACGCCAAATTAAAGACGAAAAAATTGGCTTTCAATCGTTTGAAAATCATTTTTTAGTGAGATTAGTGGTACAACCACTACAAACATTTTTATTTACACTACTTAAAAACTTATCAGAAATTCAACATTTCTTAAACTATTAAATAACAACAATACCACTGATCTCACTGACAGTTGATGTTAAGCAGATCGGAACAAAATTTTCTTACCTTTAATTTGGCGTTAACACAATTGATATAGTCTCATTGCACCCGTAGATATTTGTAGATATTTTTTAACACTGTATCTCGAAAACTATCCTACTGAGATTTATTTATTTTTTTTTTTTGGTTCAGCGGACGATTTTACATAAGAATCATTGACCAAAGATGCAAGTTCATTTTTTTTTTTACTTTATTTGTAAACTAGTGTTATCACGCATACGGTAGAATTAATAAGCAAATGTGTAAGTCCGTCCCCAAATGAGTAAAAACATTGTTTAGTAGGGAATGGACCTAAATTATTGTGTGGGTCGGCTTCAGACTCTGAATTTGTTATGGTGGATACAAAACGTAATATCTAGTATGTTTTCTTCTAGATAAAAATCAATTTTATGAGGCAAAAATGGAGATACACGCCAATATATGAACCGTCCCGAAAAGGATATGAAAATGGCTTTTTCGCGGTTATTTTTCTTTTTTTTACATCTATGCGATTGGAATAAACACTAAATAGAAACCTTTAAAAGTTGGTCCTATGTTTACCGAGCAATTTTGTCGAAGACCCTAAATCTGTAGGAAGCATACCCACGGCGCTAGAGATTTTGGCCACCAAAATTTTAAGACACAACAATTACGCTTACAATACCAATTATTCAAATGGTTATTTCTCATAAACTTTAAACCAAACAAAATTCTGATTGCTGCTCCCAAAAGAACATTTCATTGTAAATAATTGGGTGAATCTGGCGATGAACTGATTTTATATGTATGAAACGAGTGAACAAAAATTACATTTCAATCAAAATTTCGCAGTTTTCAACATGCGCCCCTGAGTCACTTCAAACTCAAACAAAGTGGTCTAATTCGTGCTGGATAATATAGCGTTATCAAAATCAAAAATAGTGAAAATCGTTACATATTATGTTTAAAGCTAATCGGGAAATACAAACTCAACCTTTCCTTTGTCCTTGTATCACGTCTAATTCTCACACAACACATGATAATTATCCACATGAAAAATATTTTTTTTCACTTTAAATGATCTTTATTTCTTGTGTTTGTGTGGTTTACATGTATGCATTTTTCAAGTGACACAGATGCGTCTTTTCAACTTTAGTACATTTGAGATTTTAATTATTATTTACAGTTCCTAGTCCTATCAGGCCTATTTTAAAGTATGACCACCTTGGTGGGATTGGTTTGTTTGAAAAATATTATGAATATAGTATGAAACATGTAACAACCGTTACAACTACCTACTCTACACATTATATAAATGTCACAATGTTTTATAAATGATACTTAATGACTTATGACTTCGCCTATCGGTCTTTTTGAAAGTTCAATGCATGTTTATAATGTATTCAAACCGACTAACTGTATTGGAAATTTTCATTTTCTATTGCAGGATAATACGGACCTGGAGGAACACTTTTATCCACCGTTGGATTATTTCAGTTCAGATCGAGTGCCAAAAGTTAGGCAAGATACGATTATCGAAGACTCTACTTCTAGCATCGATGAAGGAATTGGCCTCAGTGCAACAGATGATTCCGGTGATGATCAAAGCCTTCCGGATGACAACAACAACAACAACAACGACAGCATAAATCTCAATCCTGATAGTAAAAACGACGAAGACGACGAAGACGATGACGATGGGAGGGACATTAATTCTGCGCTTATCAAAAGCAAGAAAAAGCGGAAGGCTAGCAGTAATAAATCATACAAATGCGAAATCTGTGAAGAACTGTTTCCGAAGAAAAAACTGCTCCGTGACCATCTCATCCTGCAACATCCGGGCCAGAATCTCAACCGATGTCACATCTGCGGCAAAACGTTCAAGTTACGGTCAAATTTACGCCAGCACTCGAGAATACACACCGGAGAGCGCCCCTTCCGATGTGACATTTGCGGAAAAACTTTCGTACAGGGAAGTGCGTTAACTGTCCACAAAGAGCTTCACAAGGACAAAAAAGAACACAAATGTGATGTGTGTAAAAAGGACTTCAAGTCAAAGTTCGCATTCAAGAAACACGAGAAAGTACACAAAGGGCTAAGACCTTTCATCTGTGATGTTTGTGGGAAATCTTTCACGCAATCCTGCAACTTAAAAGCTCACTTACAGCTGCACAATGGGAATCATGCATTCAAGTGCTCAACCTGTTTTAAAACGTTTCGATTTAAATCTCACTACGAAGACCATCTGATGACTCACACCAAGGACAAAAAATATTCATGCACCAAATGTGGTCGAAATTTTGCCTATAAAAATTCCTACCAAAGGCACATGCAGCATATCCACCGGGACGAAACGCTACACCGATGTGGTGTTTGTAGTAAAACTTTTGTAAAACTAAGCCACTTGACGTTCCACAAAAAGTCCCACCGAAAGAGTAGCTCGTTAATATGTGAAATTTGCGGTTTGGTGTTTGAGAAAGAAACTACCTTTGCGAAGCACAACGAATCCGTTCACCGAGATGAAGAGCGGCGGCTGTTCAAATGTGTCATATGTAGCAAATCCTTCGAGGAGGAATCCGAACTGACGACACACTTTATGCTGCACGAAGCAGATGACTGTCCCTTCCAGTGTGGGATGTGTGGGATTTTGAACCTGAGTCAGGCGTAATTAGCAACAGGGAAGGAACCTTTTGAACGCGCCCCGTCGTACTTTATGCATTCCTAGATAAGCGAAAGGAAAAGTGTTGTGATATGTGGAAATATATAGGACTCTCGTGTTGTACAACATTTAGATTAGGATAAGATTATTTTTAATTATGCACTCTCTTCCAGTTAGTGTGATCCCCAAGCAGGGCAAGATTAAGCCCATGGAAGCGAAAGGGTAAGAGAGTAGACTCTTTTGGGGCAATAATTTCATAAATTTAAATTACAATAAAGATCATATTAGTCATATCCTGGAACCGTACCTTTGCTCTGGTTTTATTTTAATTTAATAAAAGCGTACTTCTTCCGAAATTGTGAGATTAGAAATAGGTCCCCATCCCATTTGCTGTTTATTACCTTGGTGGCCGTCGGAGAAGGGACCACCGAAGAAACTACAGCGTTCTGTCCCTTAGGAATGCCTCCACTGACTCTTCGTCGTCTTAGAAATGTCTTTGGAGTTTCATATGCCAGTCGAGCACACGCGTCATAGGTCATAAAACGATAATGGCGTTTCATCCGGGTAAGTAAGACATACAGGGGCGAACACCAGGCCAACTAATGACCTATGCCTGTCTTATGATGAAGCCTAATAGAATAATCGCCGTATATGAGCGTCAGGGGGATGCCGCTGAGGCCGTTCGGGGAAGAAAAGTCATTCGAATTTGTGTCTGCATGGCAAAGAGGGTTAGAGAAGCTGCAAGCGAAATAAGAAACAGTGTCACCGTTAATTATTTCTGTCACGGAAAATTGAGGTGAAAATATGACAAACGTTTCCCATGATATTTGGGACATAGAGCTGCTAACTACATTACATTAGACTTTCATTGCATGGACTGTACGATTAGTAAAATAAGTTATCATATTCTCCTCCTCTCCTCGGAATTCAAGCACCATACAGCATCTTGCATCGCGGCGGACAGCACAATATAGACATTCGGCCTCTATGATGTAACTTTGATGTAACATGCACTATCAAACACATTCCGTGTGGTAAAATTTAGTTAAATTTACATTATCACCGATCTCGTTAACGTATCACGGCCCAAAATGCACTAGCTTACATTTTAAATCCTATTTATTCCTACCAGACCGACCTACCAAGTTCTATTAAGCTGCAGAACTCCAAAATCCTGTATTCTGTCCAATGTTATCTCTCATATTATTAACGAGAACATCTATTGATCTGTAATCGTTTGAAACCTCCTTTCAGTGCACAATACACCAGAAATGCAATCTAGCTGGACAAAATTAATAACGTCAAAAATATAAACAATACCAGAAACAAAATCACATCTTGCACTCAAAATGATCATAATTACCAATAAACCAGCTTGGTCAGGAGCAATAAACTACTTGAAATGAGAAATAGAAAATATGCTGTTCACCGGTAAAACTGCTCAAATAAGCAATAATATATTGAAAAGTTGCAACAGAAAATTCAAAAATTGCAATAGAAACTATCTGTTTGACCAATAAAAAACAAAATTGATGATTTTCCAATTAAAAATCTAGAAGAAGCAATAAAAACTGAACATGAGCATTAAACACTTAAGAAGTGAGCAATAAAACAATTAAAATGTACCGATAAAACCGTACTAAATTTCCAACAAAAAACTTATTTTTTTATGAGGTTTTCCTGGTTTCTTTTTAAATTTATTATTGCTCGCTTTTCATTTTATAATGTCATTTTGATTTTCTTTTTTTTTTGCACTTTTATTCAGATAATCCCGATCAATCTGATTCTCAATAGGACTAGTAAGACCCAAACTGAAATTATGGGAACTCTCGAATTGCTTAGCAAGTTTCTGAGCTTTTTCCGAATTTGTGATCAAAATAATACCACCTTCTTTAAGCGCTGGAATAGGCTTTTGAGGTTTTTTCAAAAAATTTGTGAGTTTCCAAAAGGGTTTGGAACTCGGGTCTAATTTAGAAACATTTATTTCAAAAGTTTTGTTCCTCAGGGCAGATAATCACTTTTTAATTTGTTTTGCAAATCCCGCCAGATAACTTTCATGGCAGGATCGCGCATTCTTTGATATTGCCTCCTACGGACATTTTTCAGACGCATCAAGAGCTGAAGATCGTCGTCTATTATAATTGAATCGAATTTAACCTCGCATTTTGGTACTGAGGCAGCTCTTGCTTCAACTATAGAAGTAGTCAGAGATTCAAGAGCATAATTAATTTCATCTTTGGTTTACAAAGGAATATTTGAATCAACGCTATATTCCATAACTGTTCGATATTGCTCCCAATCAGCTCTATGGTAATTGAAAGTAGAGCTGTTGGGATTAGAAATTATTTCTTGGGATATTTCAAAAGTTACTGGAAGGTGATCAGAACCGAAGTTAGCATGGATAACCAATTGTCTACAAAGTTGACATGAATATCACCAATTATGAAGAATTTAGGCCTATGACTGGTATGTTTGCATTAAACTATGGATGTTTTCCCTTCTCTTAGTGATCGTAGTGCTTTCAGCAAAGTTTATTATTATAATGAAGACCATCTATGGACATATTGTGGTCTTCAGCAAAGATGTTTATCTTAACAAAATTAACAAGGCGTCAAAAATTGCTGATATCTCTGTAAAATGTCTGGTTCATAGCTGAGTTCTCAGTATAATTATTATTTTTTAGCAGAGTCCTAAACTATTTCCAATTAGTGCAGTATCACTCAGGAGTGCTTTTGTGATTACGAACCCGCGTTCTACAAATAAACAACTATTGAGAAACTGTGCAACAGTGAAAATCAGTGTTATGTCTCAAGGAAGGATCGTGAAGGATCGTTAGGCAGGCGATTTTCCGAAACGAGAGAGCTTGGACTTATCGGGCCATCATGAAAGCTGTCAGAGGTAAAGCGGTACTGGTAAAGGTACTGGTAAAGGTACTGGAGAAGGTCCTTCACCTCGAGGTAGAAAATTCAAATGAATTTGCCTTTGGAGCTGCATACGTTCGATACGTAACTATGATGCTTATTATCAAAACATACAACAGGTGGATAACCTGTATACGAGCTTTGCTCTGATTTGGAAATCCAGTAACTGAATTCCCCTTATTTTCAATTAATGTTGAGAAAATTCAGCAGGAACAGAATCAGCACCCTTTTCCATTTCCATTGACCTGCACTCGCGAACACATCGCCCTTTAATGCTACAACTAGGTAACTCAAAATTTGAAGTTTCGAGAAAAACAAGTTTGAAAATACCACTTGTTTTCAAGGCGAAGGCATAAGGTTGAAAATAGCTTTTCACGCTGCATTGATATGATATAACTATCCTATTTATCCTATCCTATTTATTATGGTTTACAAATGTATCTCCAAAATGAACAATTCATTAATATATACATATTTTTAAATTAGGTGGTTGTTCAAATAAATCATAAAATTACGATTCAATTTTGACATAGGACTACGTCTTTGATTTCTATATGGGGGTACACTTTGTGAAAACCAAAAATGGAACATGTAACAAAATTATGAAAGATTTTGAACGCTAATAACTCAACTGCCCCTGGATCAATTTCAATAAATTTATCACCAATCGATGAGATATATTTCTACGCATCTGTTTAAATTTAAGACTTCATCATTTTTCATAGTTTCACCATTGAAAATTGCACGAATGTGCAACTGTTGCTCTGATAATTAAAATTATCACCCATTACCTGCGAAAAGCGATTTCCCTAACACAGAGTTCAAAGTTGAATCTCACCAAACCGTGTTTTGTTTATTCCATCACCGCGTGGTGAGTGCTTGTGTTCTCCAGTATACAACGAAAGGCTGCCTGCAAGCAACGAGCTGAAGCCCACATGAGTATCCATAGAAGGAGGAAGAAGCCGCACCGCTATTGATCGGAATCAGTAGCTCTTCTTGAGTTGCTGTGGGCCATCTATGTCAAGCGCGTCATACTAAAGAGTATAAACAGAGAGAAATTAATGTTCCTACACAAAGCAGAAGCTCCTGCAGCAGTTAACAAATAATATTTATTGTATAAGACCACGTAGTCCTGCGTCACCATTGCGTACAACCCCATAGGGCTGTCCCTTGTAGTTTTTTTTTAATTTGCATCCAGGTACGGTAGTGGTACGTAAAAAAATCGCGAAGTGATATACTTTTGTCCGGTACTATATCCGACGTTAGGTATCATCTACCATTAGTATATGTATGCTTTTATTTATTTCCATTTAGGATAAGCAGATAAATCAGGACTACACTTGTAAAATTAGCTGTGATGAAATTACATGGAACGGGAAAATAAATTATAAATGTAATGGCAAAAATAATGCTTACCGCACCATCGATCAAAGGATTAAGTTTTCCCCAAAATAATTAAAAGATCATTGTGAAGCGAGTGAATATGTCACGTTGCAATTAGTCAATGGCTACGGCAGTCTAATCACCAGTAAAATGAGAGTTAGTGGCTGTGATGTGGCAGTTAATCAGAATAAATATTTGGTTACAACCGATTGCTTCCGTGTATCTGCCGATTGCCTTCGTGTAATTTGTTTCTTATAGATTATTATCGTTTCGATAAGGCAGCAAACAAAATAGATGGATCGAGAGAGTTCGCTATACGCACCACATGTAAAAAAGTCAGACACTTCCCAACGAAGAACAGAGTTCCTCACGTAATAGGGCACATGAGGAATAACATGAAAGAAGATCTTAAGCCCCCTATGCCCAGTACTCAAATGAACTACTCGTCAATAGGAATGGGCGATGTCGATGCGATTTTTACAGAATCGGTTTTTTTGCCTCGAAAAATCGATTTTTTTCATCCGATCTTTTTCTGTTCGATGTTTGACGGAATCGATTTTTCAAAGTTGATATCGATTTTTTACTCATTTAAATTTTTTTTTATAAAGCATTTAAAAAAACAAAACGCCTAAATTACCAAAGAGAAAATAAAATCGCCGAACTCTTTTTATGTTGTTGTTGATTATGTTGAATCAAATGTTATCATTGAATTCTTGAAAAAAATGATAAGCAAAATGGTATTTCACTATCCCAAAAATATTTTTTTATTTAAAATCAAGCGATTTTAATTTCATCGTCCTCAAATTTTGCAAAACACCCTTTCAATCTTGGGCTTTATTTATTTGTTACTTTTTATGTTGTGTGTACTTTGGACCCATTCTTTCTAATTCATCCAGCTGATTTTGTTTGCAAAAAAAAACACGCACTCCTTGATGCAAAAAAACATTGGAAAGGTGAGTTTTAATACCTACACGCTAAGC